TAGGAAGACTCGGAAGGTACTTGAGTTCCTTTGTTAAATGGCTCAGCTACTCACTCACTACCCTACCTGGGTGGGCCTGCTACATCATCTGGCTGCGCTATACTGACAGCCAGGCCTTGTCTTGCTTGTAGAGCATCCCCTCAAGGACTCCTGGCCCAGTCTCCTCCTTGGTTGTTTCTGTACATAGGATATCAGGGCCACCCCCTTTTCGAAAGAGAGTTTTCAACTCTAGGCAACCCCTCCCGCTGACTGCCCAACCTGGGCTCTGGCTCACCGGATGTTGTGGAATTGGAGGCGGACTTGCCAGAGTGAAGGCTCCATGTGGAGATGCTGCCTGTGGGGAAGTTGCAGGAAGATGCCTGAGAACCCGCTTCTGCCTGTTCCCTGGCCCTCCGTGCTTAAGCAGGGCTGTGTTCCACACAGGGAGTGTGCTAAGAAACACCTCACTCTAGTGTAAGGAGTCAGTCGTACAGGGCTGGGGACCCAGAGACAGGCACCACAGTGGCCATCAGCCTCCCAGGGGATGGGGCTGCCCAGGCCACTCCTAACTCAGGAGGTTATGCACCCTCACTGTCCCTACTACACAGACCTCATGCCTTTGGTGTTGAGAGCAAGCCAGCCAGCTGTGGCTGAGGAAAGTGCCACCTGTCCAAGTGCCCAGAACTGGTCCCTTCTGGGTTAGCATGCAGGGCTCCGTGCCGCCAGATAGCATGAGTGCTAACTCCCTGTAAGACCTGAGTCCTACCTTTTTTCTGAGGCTTCTCATTCATGATTAGCTTGTAGTGGAGATCTGAAAGCAAGCAAATACTCCTTATCACACTTCAAACCTACCGCCACTCAGAGCACACGTGTGGCCTGCTCTTCCCATGGGTCCCACCAGCTTTTTCCACCCCAGTCTTTACCTCAGGCATCTCAGACCAGAAATGCCTCTAGCTGATCCCTGTCATCCCCAACACCTGCAAGGTGCCCATCCACTAGGCCAGACGGGCAGGGCTGCAGGCTGCTGAAGTGACACAGGATGGCTAGCCTTCCAGGAGCCCCTGGCAATGGTAAATGGGGTGTGACATGGGGCTGGCCAGTCAGACGTGGGGTGAGTCCTAATGTAATAAGATGCCCAGCGAGAGAGTTATTGGCAGTGCAGGTAAAGACAGCACCAGAAAGAGGGAGAAACCAAGGCACAGGCGTGGAGTGTGAGGAAGCAGAGGAACCCTAGCTGAGATGTAGACTAGTAAAGACCACAGTTATATCATAGGGTAGCCTGAAATTCTGAGTAGGCCAAGCCTTGGGGGTGGGGAGCATAAAGGGGTGCTCTGGCTTTAAGGGATGTGAAACAGCATCCTGGCAATCCCTAAAATCTGGATGTGCTTAGTTGGTGACCATTCACTGGAATTTGTTGTGCTGTTTAACTTCGGCAACGGTTTTAAATAACGAGCTGGATCATACCCTGCCCTGCACAGAGTGCACAGGAGGATCAGCGTTCATCTGGGCTGGTGGGCACAAGAGGACTGAGCCTGTCGGCAGGTCCTACCGAAGAGAAGCCTCCCGCGTCCTTCCCCGCACCTGGAGACTGCTCAGAGTTGATGGCCGTGACCTTCAGGTTGTAAATGCTGGGCCAGCACCCAGAGGCTCACCCTTGTTCTCCCGCTTCAGGTGCTCGATCTCCTCGTGGAGTTTGACTAGCGTCTCCGAGTGCTGCTGCTGTAGGAACTGCAGGCTCTTTTCCAGGTCCAGGATCCGCTTCTGTGCCTCGCTGAGCCCGAGCGGAGGTGGCTGCGTCCCCGCGTGCTGCAGGCTGGCGGGAGGGCGCGGGCATAGGCGGGCCGCACCCCGGGAGCCTGGGGCCGCGGAGCTGAGGGGCCGCGCCCCGGCCGCCAGCCCGGCCCCGCTCATGAAGGCGTCAGTACTGGCTGCTGGAGCCTGGCACCCGGTCGCCGTGGGAACGGGCGCGCCGGAGAGCAGGGTGGGCGGGGCGCGCCGCGGGGCGGGGCCTGTGGCTGCGTTCGGCAGAAACTAAGCCGCCTAACTCATGAACCCGTCGGAAAAGTAGTTCTAAATTACAGTGCTCTGTGTGCGGTGCGTGCGTCCCGGTGCGTGAGTAGAGACCAGCGCTCGACGCAGGGTCTCACTTCCACCTCATAGCTTTTGAAAAGAGGTCTCCTCTTGTGGCTAGCTGGGCTGGCCTGTGATCTTCCCATCTCCCCGGCTTCCAGAGCTAAGATCCCGGGTGTGTGCCTTCCCTCCCCACTTCTCATGTGGGTGCTAGGGCCCCGAATTTAGGTTCTCCTGCTTGGGCAGAAAACACTATACCTTCTGAGCCATCACCTCCGCTTGTACTTTTGAACCCGGGTCTCACTCTTTAGCACAAGCTAGTTTGGAATTCATTGTGTAAAACCAGGATTATAGATATATGCCAAAGCACTGGCTTTTTAAAGTGGGTCTTAGTCTTTGATTTTAATAGGTCACATTTTTGGATACATAGTGATAGTTTCAAAAATCTTCCAACACTCAGAATCGTTGTGGGTATAAATAGAAAGGGGGAGAGGGAGCTGTCTGAACACACACAGGAACCGGCCAGTGCACTTCTTTAGTCCCGGTACTTGGAGACAGGCAGGCAGATCTTTGAGAGTTTGAGGTCAGCCTGATCTACATAGTAAATTCCAGAACAGTCAGAGAAAACAAAACAGTCAAGAAAACAAAAGCCCAGAAGGGGTGGGCCTTTGAAGGAAGTGCTTGCTTTTGCCTAGAGAACCCAGCCAGCAGGATCTAAAACAAGAAAGTCCTGGCTTGCTGGGGTTTAGTTTTTTTTTTTCATTTATGTGTACCTGTATGAGTGTATACTGTGGGTGTGCAGGTGTGCACTGAGCCCTGGAGCTGGAGTTACAGGCAGTTGTGAGCAGCCTTAGGTGTGTGCTGGGAACCAAACTTAGGTTCTCTGGAAGAGCAGGAAGCTCTCTTAACTGCTGGGTCATCTCTTACTCACTTGAAAACTAGGCCATTTACTTAATTTATGACATGGCAGATTTATTTATTTATTTATTTATTTATTTATTTATTTATTTATTTATTTTGAGACATAGTTTAGCTACATAAGCCAGGCTGGCTTCTTGCTCAAGAGATCTGCCTCTGGTTCCTTTCTGAATCCTGAGATTAATGACTAATTTGGAAAACAAATTTCTAAGAGGCTATGCAAAAGTCACCTCCCAGTGGGTCAGTGTTAGGCACTTCCCTACCATGTCCATCCCCCAGAGGTCCATCCTTTGCATAGCAAAAAGCCTGATCTACATAGTGAGTTCCAGGCCAGCCAGAGCTACATAGTGAAATCCTGTCTTCACAACAAACACACAAAGAATAATAAAAAGATCATTTCAAACTGATCCTTGAAGCTCATACCTATAATCCTAGCCTAGGATACAAAATTTCATCATAGGCTATAGTGAGATCTTATCCTAAAAATAAGTCAAAACAGGAAGATGGCTTTGTTGAGTATCCTATTTCATTTTTTGTTGCTTGATAAACACCATGACCAAAAGAAAAGCAAAATGGGCACCAGAGGGTTTAACTAACAGGTTATAGTCTATCATGGACAGATGCTAAGAAGGAACTCAAGGCAGGAGCCTGAGCAGAAACCAAATATGGCTTGGGGCTTTCTCCCCAGCTCACTTTCAGCTACCTTTCTTTTATACAGCCCAGACCCACCTGCCTAGGGATAGTACCACCCAAAGTGGGCTAGGCTTGCCTACATCAATCCAGAAAAGGTCCTTTTCCTAGGTGAATCGAGTTGACAACTGAAAGCTGTGAAAGCAGGAGAGACTTGCTTCGAAGCCTAACCTTCCTTAATCACATGTGCTAGGCAAGCTGTCTCCTTCCGCTTCCACTCTGAGCTACATATATACACCATGGCACATATGCACTGACTACACTCTCCCATCCCCCAGTAAGTCAATCTAAAACAAATTAAAACAGCCGGGCGGTGGCGCACACCTTTAATCCCAGCACTTGGGAGGCAGAGGCAGGCAGATTTCTGAGTTCGGGGCCAGCCTGGTCTACACAGTGAGCTCCAGGACAGCCAGGGCTACACAGAGAAACCCTGTCTCGAACCTCCCCCCCCCCCCAAAAAAAATTAAACTCCAAGGGGACTTTGGAGGGGTGGATGTGACCAATACATGTGTGTGTGACAGAGAGACAAACAGAAACTGTCAAAAGTAAAAAAAAAAAAAAAATTAAAGACTCATCTCATAAATGTTGATAGGCCAGGTATAGTGGCACAAGCCTTTGATCCCAATACTTGGGAAGAAGCATAAGCAGGAGGGTCTCTGAGTTCAAGGCCAGCCTGGGCTACAGAGAAACTATCTCCACCCCACACACAAAAGATAACTATTGATAGGGTTATTGATAACGGGCTAGTCATTCAGCTGTGAGCAGAGGAACTGGGAACAGTGGGACACTCAAATGGCAACTGCCCTGCCCACCGTAAGGGCATTGCACTCCTGGGAAGATGCTGGCCTGGAGCTGGCTAGTACACATCTGGGAGCTGAAGACATGACTCAGCAGTTGGTTGAGAGCACTCCAGAAGCCTGGAGTTTGCTCTCCAGCACCCACCGACTCCATCTTCTGGCCTCCTTCAGCAATGTATCCATGTAACAAGCACACACAAGCAACATTCATTCACATAAAATAAAAATGATATTGTTTAAAAAGAAAGTTTTTGGAAGCTGATGTGATTTTGTTCTGGATGACAATTAGAGCCAGTTCTGAGGTGTTGAGCAGGGAAGTCAGGTCTCAGGGCACCATAGGGCCCGCCCCCCACCTCAGGTTTAGTTTGCCTGCTGTTGTTTCTGCAGAAGTTGAATCCAACATGCCCTAGGCAGGAAACAGGACTTTCAGGCAGAAAGAACTGCATCATGAGGTAAGGAGGTGCCATGTCCAGGAGCTTGCTCCACAGTTCCCAAGTGCTCAGAGTCCCTAGGCAGGTGAATAAGCTAAAGATTCAGCCCAGACAATCTCCGAATCAAGAATGGTTTATTCGGATCCTTGGTCAGTTGTGTTTTGGATTGACTTTTGGTCATGGGTCCCATGATGTATTCTGAAGTTATGTTGAAATACAAAGCCCAGTGATAAGCTTGAAGAAAAACAGTTTTGTTTAAAAACAGCTATACACACCCAAAACAAAGGGCTGGTTTAAGAACACCATGGAGATGGTGGTGTTGCCAGCATCCAAACTTGCAGGGTGAATTCAAGCCCTTGGTGTCTTAGCTTTGATGTTGTGAAGGTGTTTCTTTCATAGAGGTGTTGTTACAAACATGATGTTCCCTTAAATTCCTTAGTTCTACAGGCAAAACCAAGGCTGCCGAGTTTTGTGTCCACAGAGGCTGGCAGGACCCAGCTCCACCCCCAGCTCAGTCTCTTAAAAACTTCGCTTCTCTGGAGTGAATATTGAGCTGCTGCCCTGGTATTTCATGCCCTGGAGAGAAAATGTCACAACCTATTCTCCCCAGCTCAGAGAGATCTCCACAGGATCAGCTCCCACAGAGCCTAGAGCTAGGGCTTGCTGTGGGCACGCTAGTTCCTGAGCTCTGTACAGCAGAATCGTGAAATGGTCACAAGGTCCTTAAATACTAGCTCAACTGCTTGTGGGCCCTTGGACACGGTGAAGACCCATGGCCAGTACTGACTGTCTTTCATAATGGTTCATGAACCTTCTGACACTGACCCTTCCATGTCAGGCCTGCCTGGATCACTCTCGCTTCCAGCTCTGTGTTCTTTTGAATAACTTCACCATTGCAGGGAAACCACTCCCAAGAACTCGGAAGATGACCTACCATAGTCTGCTCAGGAGATAATGGCTAGCTCACAACTGGTGCAGTTTCCCCCGCTCAGTGAGTAGTGTCATAGCTATGGCATAGAGGATGTATCCTAGGACCAGGAGCAAAGAGCAGGGCAGGGGCCCAATGCAGAACAGAGAAGCCACAAAGAAGGCCATCAGGAGCAGGAGCAGTGTCCGGTAACTGCCCAGGAAACGGAGGCTGAGCCTGGGGCCCCGTGCAGGATTGGTGACCTGCCTCCGCCCTACAGGACTTAGCAGGTGTCTGTTGCTCAAGGTAGGCTCAGTGAGGTGATAGCGACAGAAGCTGCCAAGAAAATCATTCCGGGAGCACAGAGCTGCCATCTGGCCTGCAAACTGGAAAAACAAACAAGGACTCAGCAGCTGGGGATGCAGAGTACCCCCTTCCTGGGTGCCTCTGGGACCAACTGATTCTCACGGATTCACTCTCCACCCATGTCTTGCAGGCTCACACAGGGCTGTGAAGGGGAAGAGGCTGCCTAGAGCAGGAGTGTTCTCTGGAACACTATGTCTATGGGCACCCCAGCTGTCCCTGCTGCTCACTTACTCTGCGGTTGATGGCAGAGGACAGCCGGAAGAGTGCACGGACCAGACTGGTGATTTCGTAGCTCCGGATGGGCTGCAGTTCTAAGTCCCCCTGGTACTCAATCTCAAATCTTCGCAGACCATTAATGATCTAGAAACCCAAGCAGTGAGAATAATTCCAAAAATTGTGAAATGACTTGTGCAAGGGCAGATCATGTGACCATCCTATACCCCTTGTGACAGAGATGGTGTACCTGGTATCGGCCCAAGGGTGTAAGGATGAGTCCTTCTTCCCCGACAATGCAATCTGGGAGCTGCTGCTTCCCATTCTCGTCCCGAGCACTTCCCAGGGCAAGTGTGAGCTGGGCCAGCTGGGCTTCGCTGAGCTGGAGAGGAAGGCCTCTGCTTTCAATCTCAAAGGAAGGAAGGGAGAGCTCCCCACCTCCACTGACTGAGAGCCTCACAGAGGGACCTGGACAGGACATACCCGGAATATCTGGCGCAGGTACTCCAGGGCCTTGTCTAGGTACTCATCTGTCTTGCGGATGCTGTCCTGACCCATTTCATCCAGGTCATTGGCTGGGTAGCAGCTATTTGTGTCTGTGGGGCCGAAGCCCAGCCATGACAGGAAGGAGCGGCCCGCTGGGCTCTCCACATACTGATCAGAGATGGACTTGGCCGTCTGCTTGGCCTGTGTGATGAGCTGAGCGAGGCGCAACACCTGCAAGAAAGGCCGAGGCAAGCGGCTCAGTGCCCACCAAAGGAGGTGCTGCCACTGCCATGCGGCAAGCTGGCCCCGAGGAACCAGCTCTAGGAGAAGTGTCCACCCAGACGGGAGAGGGACATCTTATTAGGGTGGACAATCTTCATCATGAGAAAAAACTAGCCATTATACATAGAGCATCTACTCAGTACCTAGTCTTTCTCCCTTCTTCTCTGCACTGAAAATCCATTCCTTGGTTCTGCTGGTCCTCACAGCTTCAGGGACCCCACATCAGGTGGACTTTTGGCCACTCACCAGGGTTCGGACTTCAGGACCAAACATTGGGGTATATTTGCAATCTTGGCCCTCCAGGCTGTAGACATGGCTCTTCACCTTGAATGAGGCATCTGTTACAACAGGGGGCCATGATGACAGGAAGTTGGTTGTCACTGTGAAGAGCCGATGGTGGCGGTGGGGAATGATGAGCTCTGGCTCCAGGAAGAGCTGCTCACCTAGAAGGCAAGATGCAAGTTAAGTCTGCCGCCTGCTTCCAGGAGCTCCTGGCAGGACTCCAGAAAACTTTCTCTGGCTTCTGAAGAGCCGTGGCAATGCTGTACCTCCAGGCTCCAGGCTGGAGAGGAAGGCCTCTGCTTTCAATCTCAAAGGAAGGAAGGGAGAGCTCCCCACCCCCACTGACTGAGACCCTCACAGAGGGACCTGGACAGGACATATCCAGAATATCTGGCGCAGGCACTCCAGGGCCTCCGACCTGGGTACTATATCAGGGGGTTGGGAGCTCAAGGGCCCAGCTCTAAAGCTTAGGAGCCTCAGCAACAGCAGACAACAAGAGACACTGTGCTAGCAGAGTGACAGCAGCCAATGCCTGCCACTGCCGACTGTTTTCAATAGGGGAAAACGGCAGTTCTGAGAGCTACAGCTTAGAGCTCTGATGCCCATGTCTGAGCTCAGTACAGCCATTGCCTGCCTGCCAGCACTAGGAGGGGACATTAACCAAACTAAGCACGGTCACTACATCAAATGTGCAGTCTCCAAGCCACAAAGAATCCCCTTGAGACATGCAGCATCTCCAGGTTCCTCTGGTGCCACTTCTCAGAAGCTAAGGTACTAGCTCACTCAGTGGAGCCGGTCCAGAACTGAAGAAGACCCACCTTTCTGGATCATCTCAGTCAGGTTGGGCTGGGCAAAGACCTTAGCCACTCTGAAGACCATGAGTGCGTTCTTGGGGCTGACAAGGTCTGTGCGTAGGGCACGGTTCAGGAAGCTCACAAACAGCTTGGTATACATCAGCAGGTTTTCCTGGATAAAGGGTGCCCTGGAGACAGATAGCAAGATGGGGGCCAGCTGGAGTAAGACCATGGCATAGATCTCTTGTTGGAGGCAGGGCCACACTGGTCCTTATTCCCTACAGCCAATCCTTCCTGATGCCCCCTCCTTCCCCCCACTTCTGCTGCCATACAAGGGAGTCACGGACATTAGGCAAGGGAACACCACAGCTTCAAACATATGACCTTTCTCAAAAGGACAATGGACGCCTCAGCAAGGTCTGCTAGAGCAGGATGGGAAGGGCAAGCCTGGGATCCCAGGAAGGAGAGGCCATAGTGACCCCAGTACTACAGGAGTAAAAGAAAATAGGAACACAGTAGTTACCCCGTGCTGGTAAAATGGAGGCTGAAGGGTGACCATGGAGCCTGTGTACTCAAGACCTAAAGCACAGTATGTCTAGCTCAGGCAGCTCCTGCTCCAGAGGGCAACGGCATCGCTAGGGCAGGCAGGTTGGGGACACTCACCACTTCTCCGACACACACCGTGGCTGGGAATCACTGCCCTGAGCCTGCTTCTCCAGGGCATACCTCCATGGCTGCAGGTAGCTCAGCCACATCTCCAAAACCTATGAGGAACACATGTGCTCGCTCTGAAAGCCCATGCTTATAAGCTGGTGCACCTGACTTTCAGGTTCACCTACTGGTGATCTGGACCTGGCTAAAACGATCTGCGCCCTAGTCAAAGGGCTGATGCAATGCTGGGCTCTGGACTCTTTTTCCATGACTTCAGTGTAATGCCAGTGAGTGAACAAATCCTCTTGCAACCTCCCAAAAACATCCTACAGGAACTTCAGTACCTCATGCCAGCCCCTTAGGGCTGACTATGGCCAACAGAATGACAACACAAACCAAGGCTTCATCTCTAAGGTTTGTGATAACAGCCTGTCCTGTCCTGTCAGCCCATCCCATAGGCTGCCAACATCATGTCATAGAGGACAATAGTGAAGGAGAGGGCAAGGGCAGGTGTTTGTGCTTACAGCTCTGAAGGATGCATCCAGAGGCCAATGGCCAAAGCAGTGCTGCAGGAAGACATACAGCTTCTGCTGGACAAACCGTGGCACTGCAGCCCTGTGGGGATAGAACAGTCATGAGCTGTCACTTGCCCAGAAGTGTGTGCCTGCTCACGGGGACTAGCTCTGGCTAGTGAGTCTGTTCTGCCAGTAGGGAACCCTGAACACATTCCAGTGAGGTAAGATCTGTTTCTAGCCTGATCTCCAGTAGAAACCAACAAGGGCAAGAACACAGTGTATAAGTTGCCTTTGAAGTCAGTGGCACCAGCCCTCCTCCTGATTAAGGTACAGGAGAAGATGGAACAGCAAGGCTGTAATCTCTGTTCAGCCTGGCTCTTCCCACAGCACAGGGAGCATCTAGAGCAGTGGCTCTCAACTTGTGGGGTAAGACCCTAAAGAAATTGCAAATCAGATATTTATACTACAGTTCATAACAGTAGCAAAATTAGTTATAAAGATCAACAAAATAATGTTATGGTTGGGAGTCACCACAACATAAGGACCTGTATTAAAGGGTCACAGACAGCAATAAGAAGGGTGAGACCCACTGATCTAAGAGGGAAGGTCTTCAAAGCAGAAGCAGCCAAAAAGCAAACAGGCCAATAGGGCTCAGGCAGAGTGAGCATAAGGGAAGCAAGGCCCAGAACCCCACCATCCCACACCCACCGTTTGAATTCCTCCAGGGGACTGGTGGCATGGGAGTGCGCTGATGGTGAAGCCTGGTCTGGCTTCAGGCTGTTGGCAAAAGCATGCAGGTGCTTCAGCAGCAGGCGTACCACCAGGACGTGTTCTTCAGTAGGCGTGAAGGACTCCTAGGAAGGAGGCAGGGTGTCAAGGCCAAATGAGACCTATAGTATCTTCTGTTCATATCTAGTGGTTTTGGAGCCCCACAGGAGACAAGCACCAGGCCAGGTATGTCACCTCATACTGCCAGATCTGAACTGACACTAGCTCACACAAGGGAACATGTGGCCTTGTGCCTGCCCTGGGTGGGCTGGTGAGAGCAAACAAGTCAGCAAAGAGCAATTTATACCCCACCTTGGCAACATCTGGCCATGTACCAGCAGACACTGCAGGCTATGCTGGGCCTCAGGGCTCTGCCTCCTGCTGAGCCAGAGTTTGAGAACAGAGTAGGCTCCTAGCCCACTTACACTCTGGATCCAACCTTGTCTGCCTGCCTCCCAACATATGCAAAAAGCTCACCAGGACTCACCTTGCTCAAGCAGGAGTGTTTTCCTCCCCAGTTCCTTCTCCAGCCACAATCCCAGCCCCTCCCAGCTGCCTGTCCTGGTCACAGCCTGATGAGGAAGCCAGGGAGTTACTCCCACCACTGCCAGGAGACCCAAAGAGCCCAGGCCAAGAGCATTCTCAAGCTTGTCAGGTGAGCTCTATACATAACCACACGCTCTCTGAGCCAAGCGGAACCTTTTATGAGCTCTTAGGCTCTCAGGTTGTTGAGCATGCATTTAGGTGGTGCTTGGAATGTCTTGTGATGCCACCTGGAGGCAGGCGTGAGTCCAGTCAGGCACATTCCCATCCCCCGCATCTGTTGAGTCTTGATGACTTGTGGGGCTAAGGCTGGTAAAGGGCCTGACCCTGTGACGCACAGGGAGTCCACAGAGCTCCGTCTACCCAGGGTCCCTTTCATAAGAGCTTTGCATGGTGGCACATGCCTGCAATCCTAGCACTTGGGAGGCAGAGACGGGGTGGGGGTGGGGGGTGTTGGGGGCAGGGGGACCACCGTAAGTTCCAGGCCATCATGGCCTATATAGCAGGTCAGCCAAGGCTATATAATAAAGCTGGCTCAATAAGAAAGAACGGGAGAAAAAAGGCCCTACGGTTCAGGTGGCACCACACTAGCTAAACTTAAGGAAGGCCTGTTCTCTTCTGCTTATTGGATCTTTAAAGTCTTCCTGAAGGGATTTTTTTGCCACTTCTAAGGAAGAACAGATGAAACATGGTAACAAAGCCTACCCCTTCTGAACATGAGAGCTAACCCAATCCCACAGTTCAGTATTATGAGGTGGTGTCTCTTAATTCTGATCAGGGATGCCTCAGGAGGGAATCAATCCCATCACATAATCAGTGGGTTAATGGGTCATCTCCTGAGTGAGTGCCATAAAGCCAGTCTGGCATCTGGGGATGGAAGCCAGGCCTTGAGTAGGGTTTGCAAGGCCTGGGGCACTGAGCTACAGCCGAAGTCCTGCAGTTTTTGAAACAGTTGCACTGTGCAGCTCAGCCCAGCCTCCTTACAAGCGCAGATGTACTTTGGTCTCAACACACTCCTTGTCTCCCATCATGATGTCAGCCAGCAGTAAAGCTGTCATCGGATGCCACCCCCTCCCCCACCCGGAACAGCACTGAGAGAAAAAAAGCAAACAACTTTTGTCTTACAAAGACTATAAGCTGGCTTATAAGGCTTATAAACTGGCTAGTCTGTGACACTTAATAGAAAATGGATTAGGACATACAATAATCACACAGACTAATCAATACTAAAGACCATCAGGCCAGGCTAGCCGACTCCAACTCTCCTCTCTGCATCCAGCATCTGACTGAGAGCAGTGCCATCAGCTCGGTCCCTCAGTTCAGAAAGTAAGTGCACCTTCACAGGAGCCCCACTCTCCCAGCCGCAAACACTGCTTCATCTTACCCAGCTTTTTATGGAGGTTCTAGATGGGCAGCCCTGCCCACCCTTCCTGTTCAAATAAATACCCTATCAATCTCCCCTCTCCTAGAGTGTTGAGTAGGGGCACTCACGTGTCCCTGGTGCCATCTACACTTCGTAATGACAGAAGACTGTGCTCCCAAAACCTACAGCATTTCCCACTGTGCCCAGCCCCAGGTCATCGTCACAGCTCTCCTGCTCTGGGGTCTTCCCAGGAAGCTGGGTAATTGTTGACCCGCCCATAAGATCTCCTCACTAGCTGCTGCTTCTGAGTGGGAACCCCACTGTGAAAAGCATTTACCATCCCATGCCAGCAACACTCAGTGTGCAAGCATTGTTTTCTCATCTTTGTTCAAATTCAGTTTCAACTGTTATGTGTTCTTCCCCTGGGTAAGACACAGCCCTGTTTGGAAGCACATCTCCCCATTGCCTCAGGTTCTCATAAATCAGCTAACTCCATTCCCCCAGATATCTGAGGTCTGACCCACACTCTACTGACCTCAAATCTGTTCACACACTGGTCATTTCTGCCTAAGCAGGCAGCAATCTCCACGAGGTCACCACTTGCTCTCAAGCCTCTGAAGGAGTCTGTAAGTGGCTGGGCTCACCAGAAGGACTGACAGCTCTAAGGACTACAGGGGAATCTATCTTATGATACAGCTGCATCCTTCAGGCTGGGTAACAACTCTGAACATGGCAGCAGCCATATCATACATTAATCCTCTCAATAGTAAGGGTAAGTCAGACCACTGCAAGGCTCTCCTGCAAAACTGGAGAAGCTGAGACAGCTCTGCAGGCTAGGGGCTTAGGAGGAAGATTCCATAATCTATGCCCTGCCATGCTGTGTGCCTTAACATAGATATACGGTCATACACCAAAACCAGGCTAGCCTGCAAACCTGAAGGGCAAGTCAATCTAAAGACCCAATCAGGCCTGCCTCTAATACATGGGTTTCATTTTGCTCAGGATTTGCCTCTTAAGGACCATAGCAGATTTCTGGGAGACCCTTACTCTGGCACTGTACCAACACACACTCTGCGCCCACCTTGGGGCAGGGGAAGGGAAGGAAAGGCCAGTACTTGATAGGCGTGGAGGGCCTGGAGGCTGGGTTGGGCAGGGCTGTGGAGGGCGCTGGAGACATTGAGTCGGTAGTGTAGAACCTCCAACTGAGAGATGACAACAGAAAGAGGCCAAGAGGCAGATGGGAGGACACACAGGGCAGGGGGTAGGGAGAGACAAAACAGGAGGAGCCCAGGAGAAAGAACAAAGGAGAAAAAACAAAAAACAAGAACAAAAGTTCATCAGTGGCAATACCCAACAAACTCTACCCAGCAGCCCTGAGTCCCGCAGTTAAGCCCCAGCTGAGAGAGACCCTCAAGATCACCTCCACAGCTGCTCAGCCCTCACAAGATCACCAGGAGGTCCTAGGCTACTGGGGCTGAAGGCCTCAGCCACCCTGAAGTCTGCCCAGTTCTCTTTTTCCAGAAGTATAACACTGTCCCTAAGATAATGATATGTAGTTATATATATGACAATGTCACACATTCTGGACCTAAAGCCCAGAATCTCATCGTTAGTGGAATATGCTGCTGCCACCACGGCCTAGGAAGTCTCGCAGCTCAGAAAAACAAAAACAAACCTGAGCATAAAGCACAGGACTCTACAGGAAGAGAAGTACAGCTGCCCCTCAGAATATATAGTGACATATATAGCTTCCACATGGTCCTGGCCAACACAATTTAAAATATTTGAGAACGGCATCTGTCCCGAGTGAGTAGACAAGGACTGTGTGGCTGAGATGTGATAAGGAATCTTGAAGGACTTTGTCTGTCTTCAGACAAGGTCTCACATGGCAGTCTATGTGGACCTGGAACTTATAATTCTTCTGCCTCAGTCTCTGGAGTGCTCGGATTACAGGCCATGTTGGGGAAACCTTAAAGCAGGACAGGTAAGTTGTATGCAAGACATTTTCTACAAGGGGATTAATGATACAAAGGTCTGGGGATGCGAGGGAGCAGGCCCCGGGGCCATCCCTCAGACACTGAGTGAGGAGGACTGGGAGACTTCAGTGGGCACACTGACAAGAATTTTTATTTCTGGGGAATATAGCTCAGTGATACAGAGATTGCCTAGCATGTGTGAGGCTCTAGGTTGAACTCCCAATACCAGGACAGGGGGAAGAGGGAACATATTGACTACATCAGGGGTAAATATATGAAGGAATCGACTCTCATACATCTCAATTCATAGATATCCCTCCATTAGCGGCTCTTTCAGACCTAAGGAGACGAGCCCAGGCACAGGCTTAGTCTCCCAGGCTGTTCTGTCCCTACACGGGAAACTGCTAAAGGTGCTTACTAGTTCCAACTGGGAAGACAGCCTTTTCTACTTATTATCCCTCAGCACACAGGGCTCCCAAGGGAAAGAACCCTCAAGAACTTGCAGTCCCATCCTCCTAGGGGCGGGGGAAGCCCAGGGCAGCGGAGCTAACAGCCAAGTCTCCCAACCCCCTTCAAGCACCTCCTACCCTACCTCCCTGTAGCACTGCTCACTGCCTGCTAATGTTCCTTAATCAAAGCACAGCCCATCGCCAGCGCACAAAAGCCATGCCCTACCAGCATGCCCATCAACTGCAACAGGAGAGAAAAGAACAGTCTAGCTAAACGCTGATCCTCCAGTGAGGGAACTAAGGCCCTTCCACACAGGTTCCTCTGTGCCAGACCCCAGGCTCAGCTGCAGTGCTGAGAGAAACCCAGGGCAGGTCTCAGCCTCCCATAGGCCACACCTAGCACTGCTCCCAGTCCTGCACTGCTCCCAGTCCTGGCAGTGAACTCGTACCCTGCACACAGTCTGATCAGAGTGGAATCTCAGGTGTCGACTATTCTGCATGTGGCAGCCAGGGCTTGGTGGGCACTAGAAAGGCTCTCTGGAAGGGACGATGCAGACCCCAGTAATGGGAGCTGTGGAAGAGGGCAACTTGTGCAGCTGTCTGTCCTGGTGTCCAATGGCTGGGTGTTCTGTCTGGCCAGGGAGCACTGACCTTCCCAGCACACCTCACCCACCCAAGGTCTGGCCAAGAGGAAGCATTGTGGGGACAAGAAGGAAGTACCTCATTCCCAACACAAAGACAGCCACTGACCCTTCCCTCTGACCACAGAAGACAGACTCGTCAGAGGAGACCATCCTGAAGGGCCTTTCTGGTTGACTCTCGAAAGCAAGTGTGGCTTCCATTCACTGGAAAGACAGCAGGCACAACAAGGAAGACGCTGCAGCAAAGCAAGCTTGCCTCAGCAAGGCAAAGCCATGTGGACAAGGCTGAGCCAGCTTGGAGGCTCTGGGAACCTGGGGAAGCCCAGTCCCAGCCTTCCATGTGCCAGCCCATACCATGAGTAACTCTGGCTGAAAGCAGGAAGGGTGTCACAGGCTCTCTGTGGTGTACAGGGCCCAGATAAGTCTTCAGCCTTTCCCTGCCCCCCCCCCCCCCCCCGTTATACCATGACTGGAAGTCTGGGGAGCTCTGCACTTTGAGAGTAGTAAAAGAGAATCTCCATCTTCAACAAAAGATTGGAGTCACAGTGGCTCCAGGGACTCTGTGGTAGCAGAAGCCAGGGCGCACTACTGAGTCACAAGACTCAATGTGAATACCATCATGCACACACTCCATTTTAAAGCAAGTGCTCGAGAATCCACCTAGCAGTGACAAGGTTAGTCTACAGAGTGAGGAGATGTAAGTAGCAGTGTCTGTTGACACTGCCTGTGTATGGCTCCGTGACTCTCAATATCCACCAGGCCATTCACTGACTGAATAGAATGGTTTTACTCGAACCAGCCCAGTAGAAAGGGACACCACCACAGGGAGATTCCAGGGATCCTGCCACCTCCACATCTCTGCAAATGAGTGCGCTACCCAGGGAGGGAGGCAGGGGAAAGGCTGAAGAAGAGAGGAGAAGGAAGCAGGCTAGGCCACATGCAGGAAGGTCCCAGAGCCCACACACCACAAATGGCCACAATTCAGAGCAGCAAGCAGGCCAAAGAGGTATAAGGTCACACAGCATGTAGGGGCTGCTCGGGGCTACCTGAGAGTATCAGGGCCCTGCTGATTACAGTGAAGAAATCAAACATGAGTCCCAAAGGGAGCCACAGCTTGCCTTGTCCCAGAAGACAGAGCATCAGACCCGAGTCATTCCCCAGCGGTGGGAAGAGGCATAGGGAGGACCTCAGAAAGGACAGGGTCACCTTTTCTGTACATTATCTGAATGAAAGCGAACAGTGAGATTCTGCTTCCCCCCATCCAATCTGAGACAAGTGACTCATACTGAGGACAAGATAGAGCAGGCTAGCCAGGGCTCGAGACAGAAGGAATAATGAGCACAGAGACGTACCTTGGCATGAGGGGACTGCATTTTTTGGTAAATCTCCAGGGAGTAATGATGAAGCCACATTTCCACAAAAACCTGCAAAAGGACAGTAACTGATCAAATGTCAGCAGGGCACTAGACCATGTAATCATGAGGAAGTCTGTCCAACAAATGGTGCTGGAGCCAAGCTGCACATACACCAAAGAAAGCTACAAAGTACCTGACACTCACTCTCTCTCTCTCTCTCTCTCTCTCTCTCTCTCTCTCTCTCTCTCTCTCTCTCTCTCTCCGTGTGTGTGTGTGTGTGTGTGTGTGTGT